AGAAAGGGGAAAAGGAAGCCGCGATTAAAATAATCGCGGCTTCATTTAAATTTAAATGGCTGCCCCGATCTGCCGATCAGCTGTTTGTCGGCAGATCGGGGCAGTCTGGACGCGACGCGCCGACAAAGAAGCCTTTCTTCATCGGCACAGGTAAGCCTCGTGAAACCCTCTTCTGATCTGGCTAATCTACATGCCTCCGTCGAAGGAGGCATGTAGTCTAGACACACCCTAAGTTATTTTGATCAATAGTCAAACCATTTGAGAGCAAATCAATAGGACTCATGTATATTCATCAGATCTCTCAACATTAAAATTACAAGATCAGAATATCAGTGAACCAATCTCCATGTTTATCAAGAAAATTTCAGAAAGAGAAGGGTGTCCCTTAAACAAGGGGATTTCCAAGAGGATGTGGGGTACAGATCAATTATTTAAACTTGTAATCACAACTTAAATTCTCAGTGTTTATTTTTCAAAGACCCTTTCTTCACCCCCAGGTCTCTCGCAGAAATGAAGCCCTGCAGCTCAGGGATCACACAAGTTTAAGAATATTTATTAGAGTTCCACTCTAGTGGGTTTTAGCTTAATATAAGTGCTGCTTATAAGTAATATTCAGTTATTGGTATATTAGAATCTCACTTTGGGTACATCTACACTTGCTCCCTAGTTTGAGCTAGGGATGCAAATGTAGCCGACCGAAATTGCTAATGAAGCGGGCATTTAAATATCCCGTGCTTCATTAGCATAATCTCGCCCGTACATTATTCCATTCAACGGATGATTTGAACCAGGAAGTGCACTCCAGGACACGTTAGTTCAAATCAAACCCCTTGGTTCGGACTAATGTTACTCCTCAAAAAACAGTATAATCTTTGAAATTATATACTTAATATTTACATTTCCTTTATTAAAGTTTTCTTTTATAAATTAAGGGCTCAATCCTGTGAATACTTGACTCACTTGAACAGTCAAATTGATTTAAATGGGACTATGAGGGCACGTATGCCTGTATATATGCCTGTAAAAAGCAGGCACTAAACCTATACCTGAAGACCTTTAACAATAAATGTCATTTTTATGACATTAAAACAAATCTATATTTAAATAAGATACAGTTTCCTTACATTTTGAACAGTCGATTCCAGCTCTTCAATTCTCTGTTCCAGATGAGCCTTCTCATTAAATGCAGTCTCCTGGGCAATCTGTTTAAAACAGAAGCAAAAAGTGCACACAAAACATTACTTTTAAAATTCACTGCATATATTTAGTACAGGCTGAACCACTCTAGTCCAGTACCCTTGGGACTTGACTACTGCCAAACCAGACAATTACTGAACCATGGGAGGTCAATATTGTCTAGCAACCTTACCACCACTCCCGTTGCTTACTGGGCTTTTAGAAGACAATTAGGGGTAAATTAGAGCTAAATATTAGCACAGAACACTGAGAAGCCAGAACTGGTGGCTGTAAACAAACCTTATGGACCATGAGAAACGTGGCCACACCCTCAATAAGTGGACATCCAGTTTACTAAAAGCATGCTGGACCACATAGTGCTGGACTAAAGAGGTTCAATCTGTATATTTAATCAAATGAACACTACATTGCAAACTTAACTATACTATTATGCTTATAAAAAGGTTGGACAAAAATCAGACCTTCAACCTCTCCCTGAGGCTATCTCGTTCTGTGGTCATCCTTCGGAAGTCAGAAAGAGCTGTATCCCTTTCTGCCTCCACACGCCTCAAGATAGCCTGGGCTGTTATAGTATTTTTAGAAGTCTTGGGGGACTTGATAACATCTCGGCGAAGTCGGGATATTTCTTCCTGTGCCTGTTAAACATATTATATTGGAAATGTGCAACAGATAATGTACTGTATTACAGACAACCTATTTTATAAGTAAGGCCGGATAAAAAATGTCCATTAAAACTTAACAGAAAATTGGATTGTTCACTCAGTGTTTTGCTAAAAAGTCTGCTTTAAGCAGAAAATTTAGATTTTTCATGAAAAAAACTAAGCACCTGAACATTCCAATGATGCATTACGGCTCTCTTCAAGAAAGACTATGGTACTTCATGGGAGATATAGTCTGAAAAGGAAGCTTGGCCTATAGAAGAAAATAAAAGCATGAAGTACTCGTACTACAACTCCCATAAGATGTTGCAGTAGCATGCACAAATCATTTTTGGCATAAATAATTGAGTTTTTGATTTTTCAAAAAAAAAATCACTGTTTAAAAAAAATTCTGACCAGATTTAAATCACAAGACATGTGAGTAGAGATACAAGTGTATCTCAACAATGTTGTGAGTAATCAGATCATAATCTGAAAGTATTGACTCATGAATGTATTCTTCAGTTCAGAAAACCATCCTTATTTAGGACAGCATTCATGAACAAACTTAAATTGAAGTCAAGGGGACTAAAACACCCACTTAAGGGCCAACCCAAAAAAGGGATAAACTTTAACCATAAAATTTTCCAGAGTAGATGAGGCCCAAATTTCTAATGCAAGAGACTAAAATATTTTTTCCTTTAAAGTATTGCAAATATTATTTTTCCAATGTCTCACTCTCCTATGAATAAAATTACCCGATCATAAAGAATGATGATTTTGTCTCTCTCAGCTGTTAGAACCTTGATGTTACCCTGAATTTCTGCCATATGGCGCTCATATTTTTCCAGCATTGTCTTAAGTTCTTCACGTTCTCTGAATATTTTCATAATTTCTGGATCCAAACTCATTCCCTTAAAAATGTCAAAAAAGTTTAATAATGAGAAACAAATTTTTTTACACATTTCCAGTATTTTAGGGTTTGAAACTACTTCTGAACAACACACACACAAAGTAGAAAGCTTAGCATCAAACAGATTCAACACAATCAAACCTAAATGCATAGTCATTTCTATCAATATTATATATTAAATAAAAAAATTAAATGGAGATTGGAAATCTCTTTCATATGCAAAAACAGTCTCGGATCAATCTGACTCAGTATTCTCTATTCATTTTATACAAATTGAACCTCTCTGATCTGGTACATTCTGGTCCAGCAGACTCACGTATATTTTTGGACCAGAGAACCCCTAGAACAGAGAGCCCAGCCAGCTGGGAGTCCGGCAGGACTGGCCTTACCATGAGGCGAACTGAGGCAGCCGCCTCAGGTGCCAGACTGTGGCGGGGCGGGAGAGGGGAGGGGACACCACTAGGACCCAGAGTGTAGAAAATTTTGTCTGCTGCTGGTGCATATGTATTCTCTCTGCTCTAGATGCACAGAGATGGTGGAGTGCCATGAGAAGAGTAGAACAGGAAGAAGGCAGAATTGAGACCTTTCAAATTTTGGCCCAAGCAAGGCAACATGGGGGCATCATTTGAGCTTCCTGCCTCAGGTGCCAAAATGTTGTGGGCTGGCCCTGGAGTCCAGAGTCCAGACGTAGGGCCACGAGCAGAGCTGGGCTAGTGGCAGAGATCAGCGGCCCAAGTGCAGGAAGCTTGGTGGCTGGGGCTGGCGGCGGAGGCCACCTGAAGGCAGGGAGTCCTGGTCAGTGGAGCAGGAGTCCAGCCAGAGAGCCTGGCAGCCTGAGCTGTGGAAACCAGCCAGGGGCAGGAGGCCCAGCAGCTGGTACCATCAGCGGAGCCCAGCAGCCAGATTTCAGTACAAGATAAATGCATTGTTGCTATAATATAATATATTCCAGACTTACCTGGATAAGTGAAGAATGTTTTGAAATGGTGCTCCGAGTAGGGCTGCGCTTAGGACTTGAAGATGTGTTTTGAAACATCTTCCTCAAATTCTCAGCTTCACTTTTATAATAATCTCTGTCCTCCTCCAATGCCTTGATAAAGGTATCAAGTCTTGAAGGAGATTTCCCTAGTACTTTTTCAGTTTCTGTTTCTAAAATAACCTTTAAGTGCCAAAATGAAAAATGCGTTCATTGAAATAGGTTTGAAAAATGTAATCCACTTATTTTTCAACACAAGGTTGATAAACATACTCTTCAGAATACTAAAGTGAGGTAACTATTTATTTTAAAATAAATGTGGCTTCATTATTTTGAAGCACTGCCTGAATATTTGCACATTCATATTCCGAAACATTTCCCCAAGTTCAAATATGTCTCTCTATTGCTGATCTAACAGGATGTTAAGTTATTTAGTTTCCTCCATCTTATCTCTGAACTACTTTTCCTTTTACAAGAGTTCTCTTTGAAACTTTCAACATCCCAGTTATAACAAAGATTGTGTATACTTAGATGGCCACTTGAGAATGCTTTTTGCTTAAAAGGTAATATGTCTTGAGCTAATAAACTCTAAGACAAAATGGGGAAGTGATGATTAACCCTTGATACAGTACCATCAAGTTAACAGGAAACACCATTAAACTACTGACTTGTCATAACTAGACAGTAATATAACTACTACTGCAACAAGGCAAAACATGGTGCTATCTTGTCTGGTGTGGGTAGCAGATGGTGAGTTTTGAGGGTGACAGTCAACTGAAAAGTAGGTAATTATGTTAATTAAAGGAAACTGCAAAGAAAAATTGGTGTGGTTTATTTGATTATTTTTTAAATGATGTGTAAAGATTTACACATTTTTCTGCTTGTTTTTTATAACTTTAAAAGGGCTAGGAATGTCAAGTTTAGTTTTGAGTGACATCTTCCTTAGTTTTGAGTGACAACTATTTGGAGGTCTCAGATGTGGAGTTGGAGGGAGGGCGGAAGTTAAGCCTTTATATGAGCAGGAAGAAGTGCAGAGTCTTTAACAATGATATCTTTTCTCCTAAGTGCTTTTAATTAATTTAAGTTAAATACATGTTAAACTGAATATGAATCACTTTCTCTTTTACTCCAGTTTGACCTTTATAACATAAAGCCATTTATGTTATAAACCTATTAGTTCTCCAGTCATCAACAGATTCTTTCAGGAAACACAAGATCGAGAGAACCTGATTTTCTAATGGAAAAGAAATAGCAGGGAAGAGAGCCTGAAAGGGTGTTTTAAATATGCACTCATTACTGTTGGACGATAAACCAAATGTTTAGTTTTACAAGTCACCTTTAAAAAGTGTTGAATACTCATGAAATAAGATTTGTACACCATTCCTGTGTTTTGGCTGACAAAATCCCATTTCAATATCAGGTCATTTTAATCACACAGGAAGCTAGATAGCCTTTTTGTGTCATTATAAATGTGCTAAATTAAGATGTGCTATAAATACCTGTCTCAATTTAGCACAACTAACAACACAAAAAGGCTATTTTGCTTGCCAGTGTTTAATGACAAGATCACAGAAAAATTTTCCTGGAGTCCAGCTCTTCTGGGCTCTTAATTCCCACAATTCCTACTCATAGGATCAAAGCCATTAAGGTCCTAATCTGGCAGTGAGGACTGAAAAGGAATCCTTTGACGGGGAGTTCATTAAAGTATTGGGGTCTAAGGAGCAAGTGTAAGTACCAAAAGCCTTATACTGTAAACATGGACATTTGTGAAAAAGTTTACTACATATATGGTAAGAGGTCTATGTGATCTTGATAACTTCAAAAAATTACTTTGTAATTAAATGAAAGAGTTCTATTAGTTATACCAATTTAATCTGGAAGCAAATTATCAGTATATACATCCATTTTTAGAAGTTTTTCTTGCTGATAAACTATTTATTAGACGTTTATATATTTGCATATATTTCCAAATGTCATTGTGCAACTTTGTAGTTATTAATATTTGGATAAGACAGAATATTAAAATAATTGTTTAAAGGCTAAAATACTGACTGCATTTCACATATACACAGAATTCTGTTTAGGAGTATTCAGAGCAATTAAAATTTGGATTTTGTAGAAAACGTAATGAAACTCTCAAAAATATCCAATATAAAAGATTAATTATAGCACAATTTAAAAATGAGATTTACAAATATACACCAAAATGGAAATTCTCTCCATAATCTTTATTTTTTAGTTTACCAGTGAAAACAAAAAGACATGTGTACTTATATTGGTATTAATTGCTCTTTGAAAGTAATAACCTATATAAATGAATAGCTGCAAAAATACTAAGAATACGGATTTAACTTACAGATTTAAGTATTTTGATTGTGTGCTCCAGCTTTCTAATATTATTTTGCTGGCATCTAATTTGGGTCTAGAATAAAAAATAATAAAGATGAAGTGTATTATTTACAGATAGTAAGATGAAATTACAGCATTTTTGTCTAATTTTCTGATTTTTTGAAGCATCTAGTTGTAACTCTTCCAGGTTTGTTGGACAGGAGACACCATTTAAGATGATGAAACTTTAAAGGATTAATTAAAACAAAACAATGCAGTCAATTAGAAAGTTGCCTGCATTAGGGATGTGAACGGGTAACCCACTAACCGATTACCTAGCAAGCATCACCCTTAATGCCCACCCACCGCCTACTGTGGATAGAGGGCTACTCCAGCCCCAAGGGGCTCCTGGCTTCTAGCCCACACGGGCTGGGAGTCGGCAACCTCACGCAAGGCAGAAGCAGAAGCCAAAGGGCAGGAGATGGGTACAGACTGCCACTTCCATCCCCACACAAGACTGCCAACTCCCAGCCTAAGCAGGCTCGGAGCCAGCACCCCCTGTGGGGCTGGAAGCAGCTGTGCTGGAGTAGCCCCAGCCAGCAGCATTTAACTGGTTAACTAATTATACAAGATTTTACATCCCTACCCTACATAAATTGTACAGGATCAGGACAAAGAAGAAGCAGTGTCTATCTGGTTGAGTAAGAACAAGGTTCAAGATCCCCTTTTACCAGATCTGCATTTTCAATAAATTTTTGGAAATGGTATCAGTTTGAGTATTCCAAGGGACTAAGATGAATAAGCATGTAGTTACATTAACAACACAGGCATAGCACAGCCTACCTTTCTTCTGAACAGTGTTAATATATTTTTTTACCACTTTGTGAAATCAAAAGGATTTTTAGCAGAATGCTCAAAAGCATTTCTTAACAACAACTATTAAAACTTTCATCCCTCAACCATTTTGTCACAGAAGTGGACATTTAAAAAAATGGCAAGAATGTATGCTACTTTCTTCCTTCCAGAACCCACAATAAAATGTTAATTACAGCCATTTTAAATTACTATATTCCAGTCATTACAGCCTCAATCTTGCAATCAGTTCCAGACAGGGGGTATGTCTACACTTGCACCCTAGTTCAAACTAGGGATGCAAATGTAGGCATTCAAAATAGTCAGTGAAGCAGGGATTTAAATATCCCGCACTTCATTAGCATGATCTCGCCGGCGTGTTACTCCGAATGCCAGCTGTTTCGAAAGTGAAAGTGCACGCCGGGACGCGTTAGTTCAAACCAAACCCCTTTTTTAATACAAAAAATTAGGAGTAACGATAGTTCAAACCAAGGGGTTTGGTTCGAACTAACTGGTCCCGGCGTGCACTTTCACTTTCGAAACAGCTGGCATTCGGAGTAACACGCCGGCGAGATCATGCTAATGAAGTGCGGGATATTTAAATCCCTGCTTCACTGACTATTTTGAATGCCTACATTTGCATCCCTAGTTTGAACTAGGGTAGTGCACCCAGAGCCACCCTGTCCATAGGATGATTTGAAGTAGCTGCCCCAGGCCCTGCACTTTGGGCGCTCCTGCATTGTCCGCTTCAACTGTCCTATGAATGGTACCCACGGGGCCCAGAGCAGCCCAGAGAATTACCTGGGGAGTCTGGCATGGGCAGCAGCCAGAGGCAGGCCTCCCTGCACTCACAGCAGCAGCAAGCGCCAGAGCGACCAGTCAGCCCGTTTCATTCTGCCACCCATCTCCCAGCCTACTGTGCTTTGCTTCATCTGTGGCAGTGGCAAGCAGGGCAACCTGGCTGCAGCCTCAGGGCACTCCACTTCCCGCCACCACGGTGAAGCAGAACATAGCAGGCTGAGAAATGGACAGTGGGTAGGGTGGAGCGGAGCAGGCTGCCAAGTCACTCCAGCTCCTGCCACCATAGTAAGTGCAGGAAGCCCAACCCCTGCTGCCACACCGCATCTGGCACCCACAGTAATCCTCCTGGCTCATGTTGCTCAGGGCAGGGGGCTTCAGGCAAGGGGTACAATGGGGGTGGATCAGGAATGGAGCTTAAGGAAGGGGTGGATTGGGGGCAGGACCTATGGTAGGGGTTGCCTTAGGCCCTGCATCCCACAAAGGACAACCCTGAGTGCACCCAAAGTCTCACTGAGCCCAACAGGACTTCTTACAAGCACAGGGGTCTGTTCAGATGGATATGATGCACAACTGGGACCTTCATGGATTTTCTAGTTCTAAAATAAGTTACAAAAATCTGAAGCTCTGGCTGTTGTCTTTCATGTGAGTTACTCTTCTCCCATTTTATGTAGATGGGCACAAAATTTAATTCAATATATGGGAATGATATAATTTACTATAAAAATTCATTTTCTAAATATTCACCCTAGGACAGATCTTCAGCTGGTGTAAGTTTCATATTGCCTCTTACTTCAGTTGAACTCTGATAATTTACTTCATCATCTGAGGATCTGGACCTCTTTTTAATAAATTCAACAAGCCACAAAACACTAATGTTTTCTCTCACACATTCACACATACAGTTAACTGAAATAAAATACAGGACTATGTAGCACTTTAAAGACTAACAAGATGGTTTATTAGGTGATGAGCTTTCGTGGGCCAGACCCACTTCCTCAGATCAAATAGTGGAAGAAAATAGTCACAACCATATATACCAAAGGATACAATTAAAAAAAAAGTGAACACATATGAAAAGGACAAATCACATTTCAGAACAAAAGGGGAATGCAGGGGGTGGGGGGGAGGAAGGTAAGAGTCTGTGAGCTAATGATATTAGAGGTGGGGAGAGTGGGATGTCTGTGAGCTAATGGTATTAGAGGTGATAATTGGGGAAGCTATCTTTGTAATGGGTAAGGTAGTTGGTGTCTTTGTTGAGCCCGACAATTAGAGTGTCGAATCTTAGCATGAATGACAGTTCAGAGGATTCCCTGTCAAGTGCAGATTTGAAAGGCTTCTGGAGTAGGATGCAGGTAATTAAGTCGTTGAGACAGTGTCCTTTCTGGTTGAAATGGCAAGAAACTGTTTTTTCTTTGTGATCCTGTCTGATATCTGTTTTGTGGGCATTGATCCTTTGGCGAAGTGTCTGAGACGCTTGTCCAATGTACATAGCAGACGGACACTTTCGGCACATGATAGCATAAATTATATTTCGGAATGCGCAGGAATATGTATTCTTGATCGTATAACTCACTTGGTTAGGCCCAATAATGGTACCTCTCTTCCCTAATTTAAACTAGAGATATGGAAGTGTAAACAGTTACCCGATAAGCCTGGGCTCATCGGTTAAACTTCATGTTTACATGCAGGGCTCCCTCGGTACTGCTGGCTTTGCATCTGCTTAAAACCACCTTCCCTCTGCATGTAACATGCAACTACTGAAATTTTCAGTGGATACGTGTTTACCAGAATAAATACATTTTAACATTCCTAATCTAATATATAAAGGAGAATGTTTGTCTGTTTGTGGTCTAATAACTTGGACACTATGAGAGCTACTGCAACCAAACTTTACATGGGATAACCTTTTGTCCAGAAAAAGGTATTAAGGTACTGTGGGAGGGAAGAGATGAGAGATGGATGCCTCTCCCCAGGGCTGCACGGAGCTTGGCAGTGAGGAGAGAAGCGGCTTCCTGGGGGAAGCGGTGGGGACAGTCACTCACTAAGGCCGGCAGAGGGATAACCTGTCATCCAGGAGGTTTTAAGGGACTGTGGGAGAGAAGAGATGAGAGACCAACGCCTCTCCCCGGGGCTGCACAGAGCTTGGCAGTGCGGGGAGAAGCGGCTTCCCGGGGGAAGCAGCAGGGACAGTCACTCACTAAGGCTGGTGGAGGGACAAGGAAGTGGAGGGTGGGCTCGGGTGCCAGCAGCAGGCACACGGCTCCCTTCCCCCTCCCTCCTCTCAGGCTCTTCACCTCAGTTATATCAACTGTCCCAAGCAACGCTGGGTAACTCTAGCTAGTTTAAACATAATTCCTTGCCCTTGGACATTCAGTCTAACCCATTATTGGGAACTCTATTCAACACTTACCAGGTTGGAATGTTCCAATTTTCACTCCCCAATACTCCTTCTCTCCTTTATTCATTTGTGAGTTTTAAAATTAATATTTTAAATTAAGACAAACAAAAATAATTTACCATCAGGCAAAGACCATGGCTATAAAGTTTCAGCCCAAAAGGTTGAATTTTGTAAACTTACTGGCTCCCACTATAATATGTGTATTTTATTTCGAATTAAATACCTTTGCTTCCTCAAGCTCCTGGTCAGCAGTATCCAATACTAATTCTTTTTCTTTTTCCAGCTGTTCAGCTAGTTCATCAACTACAGCAAGTTCTTTGCACAGATACTCATTCTTATTAGTCAGACTGTCCACCTGACTCTCCACCACCTGCTTTTTATCAAGCAGTTGCATAACATGTTGCTCTAACTCATGGTTTTTCTTCTTTAGTTCATCAATCTACTAGGACCAAGAAGAACAAAGACATTTACTTTTCTTAATATTAGAAGACATACACAGGAGGCATTTCCCAGCAGAAATATTTATCTACACTAAACTGAATGCATAGCAAGACAATGACAAGCCCAAGCTTTTCATTAATTTACACCAGAAACATTTTGTACAGATGTAAATGACTATACAAAGGTAATGGCAGTGGGAAAGCAGACTGCTAAATTCAGGGTTGAAATTAGAAATCTGCTTCTGTGTCTCATTCATCCTAACTGTTAACTTTTGATAGCAGCTCCACAGCTTCTTTGCTTGTCTTCTCTATGTGATGTGTCTCACAGGGCTATCTATCCATTTGCTTTATGGACATGTGCTTCTGAATATGCGTAATTGGAATATGCTTCATGAATGACATTTCTTTTGTCATTTGAAAAGTTGTAATCTGCTGAATGTGTATATTTTATTTGTGTACATGTAACATTCCTGTATTTGAAATTAGAAAATATGAAGTATAAACCTGTTTTACTCATATAGGCATCCTAAGTGAGGGCAATTAAGGAAAGTTTGGAAACTTGATGTCTCATGGATAAGGACAACAATCTACATAAGGGTTTGTTTTTTCCTTTGGACCTGTCCAAAGGAGTGGTTGAGAGAAGCCACAAGGACATGTGTTTAGATCACCTGATGCTGGGACCCATCTTGGTCCTTGTACTTCTCCACTGAAGGTGAAAAAAAATTTAAACTGAACACAAAGGGTTTTCTGCCTTGGGCAAAAATCTACATAAAGGTGGGAAACCAAACAATAGAGGCAGCTGCCAGATGTCAGGACACCCCTGCTTACCACCCAAGATGACTAATGGAAATATCTAAGACTAAATAGAGGGAAGGATCAGACACAGGTTGGGAGGCTTTCCAGCCTGTGAAAGAGATGACTACTATTAGGGTAAGGTATTGCATGGAACAAGTTTCTTAGCGTATTAGGCTTACTTGGTATGTTTTATTTTGCTTAGTAGCTTACTTTGTTCTGAGTGCTATTACTTGCAACCATTTAAATCCTACTTTTTTAATAAAATCACTTTTGTGTATTAATAAACTCAGTGTAAATAACTGATTCTTTGGAGGGGCAAGCAGCTGTGCATATCTCTCCTTATGCAAGAAAGAGGGTGGGCAATATTAACTTGCTCAGTATAAAACTTGGATGCATTTATCTAAGATTCTGGTCCTACTGGGGCTGTAAATTTAGGTACTGTGGCAAGACCCTTTAACTAAGCCAGCTGAGCTATTATTAACATCTGTATTACACTGCTATGGGTTGTAATCCCACCATTGTGTCAGTGTTGAAGGAGGCAGGAGGGCCTGGCTTAATAAAACCTAGGAAGATGAGCTGAGTGATATTTCAGCATCTCAAGTGTCAGTCTCAAGGAAATCTCTGTAACCGAACCCATCACAATGTGTACACCATTTGTTGGACTCCCAGTGTGACATGTAACCCCTGGCATTGGGGACACCCTTTGTCACCCTCACAAACTGAGCTGCTACAGCAGTATTCCTCTAATACTTCTGGGAGAGGAAAGGCTCTTTAGCTCTGCCTGAATATCAACTAGTCTTGCTCACAGAGGTGTTTGCAGGTGTCTTTTCCACTATCTGCTTGTGGGATCTATGTCCTTCATCTGGTAAAAGCTAGAGGAATACACTAGGTCCGTTATTGGTGAAGACTGTTACTATCTCCCTAAAAGGCAGGGCAGGATATGTAATGTTCTTTATGTAAGGGGACTGTTACCCCTTACTAAAACTCTGTGGGAGTTTTTTGGTTTACCAGCTTCAGAAGGGGAAGGGTTCATGAGACTGACAGACCCCAGAGACAATGGAAAGCAGTCAACACTCCAGCTCAGCCTGACTGACAGGTTGTAAGTGGGGATTGTTCTGGCTCTGTCTCTGAACAAACAAGCTGTGTGCAGAAGAGGTCCTGCAAAGACAGAGAGCTGAAAGAGGAGTACAAGAAGAAGTCCTGCAGCGACAGAACCAGACACAGACAGGCCAAGCAGTGCAGACCCTGTGTTGAGCAGCAGACTGGCAGTGCTCAGAAAGCCAAAAGGAACAGAGAAGCAACACAAGGAGCTGGAACTGGCCAAGCAGCACAGCCTGCAGCTGGATGTGGTGAGCTACTGGGACCTGCAAAGTGTGGGGAAAGGCTCTGGACTGGGAGAGGGGTCTGGCCACTTAGAGACTGAGGCTGTGTGGTCGCTGCCAGTGCAAGCGTGTCCAGCCTGCAGCCCCTTGCAGCACATCCAGGGCTTCTAAGGAGGGGTCCTTACACTCTGCAGACTGCTGTGTTGATGTCCCTGTGCTACAGAGCAGGGCTGTGTGTTCTCATTTAACCATTCTCATTGTTTCTTATTCTATTCTCTTTAATCAGTTGATGTTTAATAAATTGTATTTGCTTTGAACCTTATGAAGTGATCACTGGGCCAAGAAGGCCTGCAGTGTAAAGAGAGCACCTCGGAGTGGGGACACCCTAACTCCTGCCCCTAGTGACTACAAGGTCAGGGATTAAGCCCCAGGAAACCTGGGCCCAGCCTTGTTGGGGTTTCAAGGGCTCTGCTACTCAGGAGAGTGGAGGGGGAGCCCTCAGGATCAGGGAGCCGTGGGGTAAAGGAAGTGGGAGCGGGGACTCAGATCCTTTCGCTGGTTCATTTCACCGGGGTGTATAGAAGCCAGGAAAGTTCCCCACAAGGGCGGGACCATTCCCCCGCTTACATTTAGGAAACTGCTTCAGAAACAATCATATGCCTGTGACCTTGCCACCTTTCAGTTTACTCTGACCCTCTCACTTTTGGGGAAGGTCACTGAGAAAGTTGTGGCAGACACTCAGGCAATCGCTTGAATCCTTAAATTTTAGAGATCTCAGTCAGTCAGGTGTTAGACCTAGCATGGAATAAAAACTGCACTGGTGAAGAATCTCATAGTAATTGGTAAGGTTTAAGTGTTCCTAATGTTATTATTGGATCAGTCAGCTGCAATCAACATCAATAACCACAACAATTTATTGGGGTATCTGCAGACATGAATAGCAGTCAACAGAATCATTCTTATCTGCGAGGCCTCAAATGGTGTGGGTGAAATGTTTCTTTTAGAGGATTCTATCTATTGTAGGGAGACCGTATGTTCCATTTTGGCAGGAACAGTTCCTTTTTTCACTGTCTCAGCCATCCCTACTTTATCACCAAAACTATGCATTTGTGCTGTCTGTAAGGTAAGGATATTAAATATTGATTAATTGAATAGTCAATTAACCTCACGTATTCTTCTCAGTTACTCGATTATTCCTTAGTCCCTGGGGGTGGGGCCAGATGTATCAGAGGCAGTAGCATGGGGTGCCAGACAGGAGCTGGTCCATGAGGGGAGCCAGTTTAGAAACCACCTCTCCTCGCGGACTGACTGCCTGTCGCCCCATGCTGCTACCTCTGTATCAGAGGTAGTAGTGAGGGGTGGCAGCAGACCCTGTCCAGGGGGCGGGTCTGAACTCCTGGACCCAGCATGAGCTGGAACTAAAATGGGCTGCTGGCCAGCCTGCTAAAATATTTTCTGGCAATGGGCGGGGAGTGAAAATGTATGTATTCTACAGCATTAACCAATACATTTTTGCTTATTGGCTAAACAACTATACTATTACATTCTTACTGTAAGGCAGAGTGAAGATCAGCAGCTGCTGCAGGAGATGAGCTGAAGGCAGCACTGTCTGCCAGCAGTAAAACAGAGAGCGGTGGCTTCTGCCTAGGACACAGCTGAAAGCAACTGTGCCCATCAGCAAGGGTGTGGAGAAACTTGCTGTTGGTGCCTTCAGAGCTGACCCTCAAAGGGTCAGGAGGCTAGCCACAGTCCTAGTGGAGAGCTCAGCAGGTCAGCCCCAGCTCTGGGTGGTGTAGAGCTTAGGTCTACGCTAGCCCTTGGCAGCATGGGGAGGGCAACTCTTACAAGCTTCGTACAACAGGTAGCAGAGGGAGGGCAGTTCAGGTGAGCTCCAGGCTGTCCTGTTCTTATTTTAAGAAATATCAACATCCTTGTCATTTGGGATACTGCCAGGGCTAATTTTGTCGCCCCTATTGTTCAACTCATATACAATATTAACAGAGTTAGCAAGGAAATATGAGTTGCAACTGAAGAGAATCAGCTTCACATTTCCCCCACAACTGATCCAGCTCGTCCACTGGAATGATTAACCTAACACAGTTAAGAAGTAGAATGGATAAAGGTGAAGTTGCTGAGTCTTCAGACAAAACCAAAGTAATGTCAGCGAGGTCAAAATCTGCACACTTGGTTGGAGGGAATACATTATTTGTTTACATGTCTTTATAGTTATAGCATAAACAACATAAAAAATGACAAAAACAACAAAGATGAAACCAGCAGCTTCTCAACACCTTCAAACTTGAACTAACCAACCACAGTAAAAAAAATTTCCATTACCCCCGCACGCAACCTATATCATCCTCTCTGTCTCCAAAACCTGGCTAAATAAACAGGCCCAGAAGCATGCTATACAGGTCATTTGATTAACCTATTTGATTAAGCGATAAGGGCACCTCTGACTTTGAACTGTAGCAATAGCCCTGCCTGGCTCTTTCTACACTTCAAAAGCAGAAGCCCAGCAGGGAGCACGGGGTCAGCAGGGGACTGGCCCTGCATTCCCTGCAGCACCTGAGCCTTTGAAATGTACACGAGCCCTAGTGGGGCTCTCAAATATTTCAGACAGGATCACAGCAGAACCAGCGTGAGTAGAGACTGCTTCAGTCCCTGCACCGTTTCCTACTGTGCCTCTACCTTCTGTCCCTGTCCTCCCCGTAGACAGTGCTGGGGGGAACCAGCTTTAAAGCTGGTTCTCCCCAACACCGACTCCTGCTCCCCTCCCTTGCTTCCTATCTCTCTCATAGGGGCAGCAAGAGGGGGAAGCAACTAGTTGCATCACTAGTTGACTATCTGATAAGCTTACTAGATTGATTTGATTCAGTAACTCTCTTCAGTAAGAAAAATCTTGCCAGCTCTACAGATTGTGACACTGATTTAAATAACTAATGTTAGTGCCGAGTTATTCCATTATATAAAATTATCAGAATTCCTTTTCTTACAAACTGCCACCAAAGCAAAAAGAAGAAAATAAAACAACCTTTAAATACAGTTTATGGATGACTTTGTCTTTGTTCTTAGCCTTTTCCTCCAATTTAAAAGGTTTCTCACTGTCAGATGCTGGATCCCTTCTATGATTTTCTCTTGTTGTTACCTTTTGGGGGGAATGGAAAATAGTATAAAAAAATCCATCTGTGGAATGGTATTTAGGCATCAATTATGAACTGTGACCTTTGAAAATGGGAGAAGACATTACCTGGTAGATATTTCATATCACTTCCCCTTAAGGTACTTAACACCACACACTGTAAGAACCTCCTGAACTAACATTGTTCATGATCTAAGAGGATGCACCAGAGAAGCTAAAAGTTTTGTCCATTTCATTTTTAAAAACAAACAAAAGGGTTTAGTTTAGTCTGATCGTGTAGTAGAATTGTTCTACAACCCCACGCACGCAACCTAGATTTTGTCACTAGTCTCTAGCTCCACTGACTAGGGAGGGTGATTTAACTCTAAAGCATACAGATTTTCCATTTCTTTGGCATCAATTAATAGCCACCATCTTTTACAAGGATAATAAAATAGCAAACATAAAAGCAAATATAAAAAACATTTCAAGAGAAAATGTATATCATAAGGGCCTCACACTACAAAGGCCTAATATTTTCACTTGGGAAACAATAAGACTCAAATCTGAAGGTGAGAGTAAACAGGATTCTATAAATGACTGTGTGTAAATATACAAAAAAAAAACCACAAACAAAAGACAAAAACAAAAATCCTTACATTTAACCTAATTCTACCAGTTGCTTCAGGGGATAGCCAAGTTAGTCTGTATAGGATAAACTTAAAAAACAAATGGTGTGGTAACACTTTATAGACTAACAAAACATGTAGATTTAGGTATAACCTGAATAAAGCAGTAATAAAAGAATATATTGGAAACTAGTTTCAAACTTCTGAACAGCCTGAATACCAAAAGGAAAAAGTGGAAAGTTGGACAAGAAAGCCATTACAATAGTCAAGCTAAGAAATAACTGAGTCATACAACTACATCAATTTAGTAACAAACACAAAATATTACAAATATTAAAATCCACACATTTTAATTATTGACTAACATATAAAACATAAATTAAACCACAATTTATAAAACTGGGAATTAGGACTTAATCCAAAACTAGTGAAATCAACTGGGCTGTGTCTAAACTGGCCAGTTTTTCCAGAAAATCAGCCGCTTTTCTGGAAAAACTTGCCAGCTGTCTACACTGGCCACTTGAATTTCCGCAAAAGCACTGACTATCTCATGTAAGATTGTCAGTGTTTTTGCAGAAATACTATGCTGCTCCCATTCGGGCAAAAGTTCTTTTGCGCAAAAGGGCCAGTGTAGACAGCTCAGATTTGTTTTCCGCAAAAAAGCCCCGATCGCAAAAATGGCGATCGGGGCTTTTTTGCAGAAAAGTGCGTCTAGATTGGCACGGACGCTTTTGTGGAAAAGCATCTGTGCCAATCTAGACGCTCTGTTCCAAAAATGCTTTTAATGGAAAACTTTCCGTTAAAAGCATTTGTGGAAAATCATGCCACTCTAGACGTAGCCCTGGAGTATTTCCATTGACTTCTGTAGGTGCTGGATCCGTAATGCAGAAAACAAAAGAATACTGCTTGGAAGCAAAAAAAGTATTGTTAACACTTATATTTTGTTCATAATAAGAAATAAAAGCAGCCTGTTGCTGTCCTAAAACAAAATAAAGTTACAGTTCATATATAAATGAATAAAGTTACAGTTCATATATAAATGATACGTAAAGCATCAGAATGAAGGAAAAACAAAGCAGTGGATCCAAAATAGAACCTTACAGAATACCCACTGATTATTCACAGGAGTGAAACAAATTCCTGTTGTAAATCCAAAAGATAAATTACTGAGCTAAAACTCCAGTTATGTGCATGAATTAATGTTGTTGCATACCAAATATATGCCCTGACCTTGCAAACTCTTCCACAAGCACGTAACTTTCAATGTATTTGCAGGATTGGGGCCTCCTACACAAATGAAGTGCAATGCGCCTATCAGTTGTGTCAAAAATTATAGAAAAAAGAAATAGAGAGAAGCCAGCTAGAGACACCCCAAAATAAAAGAGTATAACAAGCAAGCAAAGTGAACAATGTGATGGCAGAAGACGTCATACTATGTTAATTTTACAGTTGTTTTTAAGGGGTGTTCCTTCTGAGGGGATAAAGTGAATGCAAAGAAAAGGGTATGGAGGTGAAAGTGATGGGGCAGGGAAGAAGAGGAAACTGAATGCACTGTGAGAAAAAGAGGTTTAGAGCAAACAGAACGGGATGGAGAAAGTCTAGTCAAAACTGCAGAAAGTTGGAGTACATCTATACAGCAGTGTTCTTTTGGAATAACTGAGGGTATGTCTACACTAGCCACTCTAGTTCGAACTAGGGAGGCTAATGATGTCATTCGAACTTTCAAATGAAGCCTGGGATTTAAATATCTGAGCCCGGGATTTAAATAATACTCCTCATTGCAGGAGGAGTAACAGTAGTTCGAATTAGGAGCTTTAATTCGAACTACCTAGCCCGTGCTGCGTGTAGCCGCGGGCAGGTAGTTCAAATTACTGGGCATTTAAAAATGGTGGTGTCTGGGAACATGCAAATGAAGCCCAGGATATTTAAATCCCGGGCTTCATTTGCAAGTTCGAATGACTACATTAGCCACCCTAGTTCGAACTAGGGTGGCTAGTGTACACATACCCTGATGTTATTTCAGAGTAACAAAGTGCACATATACACAGCAAGCCGTTATTTCAAAATAATTTTGGGATGGAGGACTTCTTACTCGGACTCCTGTAACACCCATTTCATGAGGAGTATGAGAAGTCAAAATTGAAAGAAGAACGTTTTTCCTTTGACTTCCTGCTGTGCCAAAGACCAAATTAAGCTATTTCTACTTCAGCTATACAATTGACTGCAGTGTAGTTGTGCCCTAAAAGCCCAAAAGTCTATTTGTGCAGCTCCACCTACCAACTGGAATAGTACTGAAATAACCACTACATCTAGTCCTGAAAAATCAAAACTATCTTGTCCATTAGACTGTAAACTCTTCAGGGCAGAGGCTATCACTGTGAGGCCTCGTTGGCTTTATGGCATCACCACAATAAACAAGATTATTAGTAATGAATCATTAGTAATAAGCCCAAGGATCTCAAAACATACAACAAACTCTTTGAGGCAGTAGTGGGTAGATTATTATAATTTTATAGGACGACAAATTTAGTAGAGAACCAGCTCTACAGAGTCAAATTATTAGAAACGTTTTTGTAATAAAAAATGGCAAAACTGACCACATGTATTCAGCATTTTAAACAAACTAAAAAATAAGACAAATGCTAGTAATTAAGGCTACATCTATGTCAGCGGGAGGCATAAGGATCTTGCTCAAAAGGGTTTTTCTGTGCAAAAAGGAGCCATCTACACAGTGCTTTTTGCACAAAAACCGCCTGCACAAAAGGAATCCGAGGAGGAAATGCAAACGAGAGTGTGATATATGCAAATGAGCGCTCCATTTGCATTTCCTCCTGCTGAGGAGGATCATAGTTTAGACATAGCCTAAGAGTTTGAGTCTACTCCAATTAAATTTGAATTTCCCCAGTACCGTATTTTCCGGCGTATAAGGCGACTGGGCGTATAAGACGATCCCCTAATTTTTTAGTTAAAAGATAGGGTTTCGTCTTATACCCCAGCGCCCCTCCACCTCCTTTGCTCCCGGTGTCCCTGGTCTGCTGGAGACGGTCCCCAGCAGACCAGAGGCACCGGGAGCAAAGCCGCAGCGGGACCCCGCCGCCTCCCCGGCTTTGCTCCGGGTGTCCGTGGTCTGCTGGAGACGGTCCCCAGCAGACCAGGGGCACCCGGAGCAGCTTTTCTCGCCCCGCAGGTCCAAGTGGCGGGGGCGCCGCG